ACAACATCTACTACACCATTATCAACCACTACAACGACAACATCTACTACACCATTATCAACCACTACAACGACAACAACTACTACACTGTTATCAACCACTACAACGACAACATCTACTACACCATTATCAATCACTACAACATCAACACCCGCAACAACAGCTGCTACAACAAGAGAAGCTGCTACAACAACAGAAGCTGCTACAACTAGAGAATCTGCTACAACAACAGAGATCGTTACAACAACAACAGAAGCGACTACAATAGTAGAAGTTGATACAACAGCAGAGACTGCTACGACAAAATCGCACACTACTACGAGCAGTAAGTCGTAAGCTAAATTTTAAATATTGGTCCCTATAGCGATTCAACTAGAAATTTGGATTGCTTGGAAATTGATGAGGTTTGCATATGTAAAGATGATTGAAGTTGAAGAAATTTGCACCTTTAATAACTCTAACGCTGGAGTAACGTGATGTCACGAAAATATGCTCAGGCAATCGTGGGCAGCCGAGAAAAAATGAAGTCATTGCAGTTTCTCGATCTTTTCTCGTTATTTTCCCTGATTTTTAGTTTTTTTTAACTTCAAAGACTATCTTGATTGAGTGCACACTACTTTATTATCAGAAGATTATGTGGATTTTGGACTAATGAAATAGATAGGCTTTTAATAAGTAAACTGGTTTTGAGTTGAAAACATGAATAAACAATCTGAATTAATCTATGAAGTTATCATTATTCTTTAATGAAGCTGCCGAATCCGTAGACAAACTTTCAGCTGGTGTCCAGAAAACTATAGTGATTTCATCCTATATCGTATCAGTATGGTTCGGATAGAATTCCGAAGTTTTGATTAGATCAAACAGTTTTGTATGACTGACGAGGAAATTGTGAATAAAATCTCTCTAATACAATGAAAATCTGTCTTTCTTGATGAAAGCTTCATGTTGTCACACAATAAAACAAAATAGTTGACCCAGCTGTAGTTCGATGATGTTAACAGTTTCTTATCAACTTAGAAGAAGATAGCTCCTAAGAAAGGAAAGCTTTCGGTATTTATAAATTCATCTCCTGAAAGGTTCATTGACTTTGAATTTACTAACATATGGCAATGTCTAGAAACTCAAATGATAAACTTTTGAAATCAATATCGATCATGTTCTCACTTTCATAAGGTTTTCTGTCAAGTGAGAGCAAAACGTCACAAATTAAAAATGGGTTAAATAGGTGGAAATGGTTTTTTCGACCATGTTAACACGGTTTTGATATTTCAGGAGAAGTACACTCTACAGATTGGTAAAGCGCGCTAAAATTCTGAAAAATGATGTTCAAACAAATGTTCAAGATGATATTTGGATCAAAGATTTTTGATTGATCATCATTTCCTATGGCTAGGTCATACTTCTTGTGAAGTGATTCGTCGATGTGCGAATCCTACGAGAATTGAACAGTTATCTAAAACGAGAACTATTTCACACAAAATTGAAAAATATCTATCATAGGAAATACTTTGGATTGCTCCACTGAACTGACTACTTCTTTCTAGGATGGTCGAATACCAGTAGTATGAGATTTGCAAGGCAATATCATACAGCATCTGTACTAACCAATGGAACAGTCTTAGTTGCCGGTGGACTTCTTACTAATGAGACTTTGAATAGTGCAGAACTGTATGATCCATTAACAGGAGTATGGACAAAGACTGGCAACATGAATTTTGCACGATACCGTCACACAGCATCCATACTAACTAGTGGAAAAGTCTTAGTTACCGGTGGAATTAGTTCTAATGGCTCCTGGAATAGTGCAGAATTGTACGATCCATCAACAGGCCTTTGGACAAACACTGGCAACATGAGTGTTGAGCGATACCATCATACAGCATCAGTGCTAACCAATGGAACAGTCTTAATTGCTGGTGGAGTTAGTTCTAATGACTACTGGGACAGTGCAGAATTGTACGATCCATCAACAGGCCTTTGGACAAATACCAGCAGCATGTATTTCGCGCGATACTGTCACACAGCATCAATGCTAACCAATGAAGCAATTTTAGTTGCTGGTGGAATCAACCGCATGAGTACTATTAATAGTGCAGAACTGTACAATTCATCAACAGGCCTTTGGACAAATACTGATAGTATGACTGTTGGGCGATACTATCATACAGCATCGTTGCTAGTCAATGGAAAGGTTTTGGTTGCTGGTGGAACTGACACCGTTGGATTTATTAATAGCGCAGAACTGTATGATCCATCAACAAAAGTTTGGACAAAGACTGGCAATATGAGTTTCGCACGACACTTTCACACAGCATCTAGGCTTCTTAATGGAACAGTTTTAGTTGTTGGTGGAATTTTTATTAATGAGACTTTGAATAGTGCAGAACTGTATGATCCATCGACAGGAGCTTGGACACAGACTGGCAACATGAGTTTCGCACGATACTGTCATACAGCATCGATGCTAACCGATGGAAAAGTTTTAGTTGTTGGTGGAACTGACGTCATTGGATTTATTAATAGTACAGAGCTGTACGACCCATCAACAGAACTTTGGACAAAGACTGACAGCATGAGTTTTGGGCAATCTTTTCATACAGCATCGATACTAATCAGTGAAGAAGTTTTAGTTACTGATGAATCTAACTTAAACAGCACTCTGATTAGTGAAGAGTTATATACATCATCATAGTTAGACTGAACTATTACTTACTGGAATCAAACTTCAACTTTTTATTCATTCCTTAACTGTATATTTGTCAATTATTTGAGAACACTTTACTCATAGCCATATCTTATATCTAGTTGGAACCCACGAGGCGTTTGTACAAACTTTTCTATTATCAATCATCGTAGTTAAAGATAGAACTAGGAAAAGTACAAGAGTAACTTGGTGTTCTCAAACACTTAATCCGCAGTATTTTCAAATGAGTTCATTGAATATTTTGAAAAAGTTTTCTTCTTCTATGTAATAGTCCGTTTTATCAAATCTATATCACTTATTAACAATAAAACTAATTTAGCTGATATATATATAACAAAAATCTATTTAAGATAAAAATATACACACAAGGTAAAATTAATCAAATTAAAAAATTTTTGTTGACGTTTCAATACAGAATTGACCTTCGTCACTCTCAAAAAAAAAAGATGTCATGATGAAACTTTTAGAATTCTAGCATGACCTGCATTTGTCTCGAACTTCTTTGGTCTCCCTAAAAAGATGGTTCTATCCACTGAAGAAAACAGTTCATTGAACAAACAAATCCTAGTACCTTTCATATGACCGACGCTTTCTATGAGGACTTCGTGAGGCAAACAATTTAATTGGTTTCATAACAGTAATAACGAGTCCTACGAGCGCTCCAAACTAGTAGATACAACCTCGTTCATAATTATGTCCAACCAAACTCCAACGAGTTGGAAAAAAATTGCACATGCTCGTTTTCTAGTGATTACTGACCATTTCTCCTTAGCAAAGAGCAAAATAATCAACACGAAACCATACGTTGTAATACCTAACTAAATAATCGAACATGAATTCACCCGAACCTAAAACACCAAAAGTAAATTTATTTCAGAAATGAAACTTAGCATTTAGTCAGTCAATTCAAAAACCTCAATAAAAATAAAATAGACTAATGAAAGAAATAAGACTTACTATTTAATCATTTATTTGATCAATCTTCATCATAAAAAAAAGAATTGATTTAGTAATGAAACAACAGGTTCCATTGCATCGTTTATATCGTGAGTTGAAAGAAAAAAGAAAGATTAATATAGAGATGGAATATTTACATCAATTCTAAACTGAGAATTGTTTGACGAATGAACCCTTTTTTTATTAAAAACATGGACGAAATGCAAGAGTGACTGTGGTAATATTCATGATCGACGAGTTCAATAGATGTTAATAATAAAAATTGAAGAGATCAAGTGGTTTCAGAAATAGTGTTAAAGCTCGATTTCATATTTTTTGTCCAAGAAAGACTTATGTTGCGAATATAACCATTTTCAACAATATACCCCTGAAAACCTCTGATTTTTATATCACTCGTTAAGTTTAATACAAAGCTGCTATTTGCACAAAATTGAATTTTTCAGAGGGAAGGACTTGCAGTTGAATAATAAACAGAAGAAAAACCATCTTTGTAAAAGGTGTCAAGTAATTCAAAAAAAACACGCTAAATAGAATTATACTAAATACTTGGAACTTCGTTTTTACTTGTTACGGTTCTTTGAATTATCTAGAACCTTTAATGGTTTAGAGACAATCAGATGAATCTCTAAAAGGGTCAGCATCTTTGTTATCATCCTCAATGGTTCTTTATAACACCTTTTTTCTAAGAGTTTTGATAGAGGTACAGACAGGACAAGACAGAAATATTGGAAGGAAACGAGATCTAGGTTTTCTTATGGGTTCCAATATAAAAAAAACAACAAAAGAAAAGAAATTGTACGTATACAAAAAATGAATATCAATGAAGTGTGTTTCAGGACGTGGGTGTGGGTGCGAGAGAAGGAAATATTTTCACCTATACACACACCCACACCTTTTCAGAAACATTTTTATGCAAGACAGTGAATTTTTTTATTTACTTTTAACAGATAGTAAAAAATCAATGATTTAGAAGTATATATAAATAATAGTTTTCTAAGCAACAAAACGAGAATACTTAGCTGTGTTTAGCATAAGATGCATTCAATTTAATGGTCAACGTTAGTAATTTACAATTCATGTTTTAATCATGAAGTAAACGGTTCCAAATCGGGTTCGAAGTTGGAACTGATATCGACGATTCTAATTCCAACTCCAATCAAAATAGAAGTTTATACTCCCGATTTGAATACGATTTCAAAAAATATCGGTTCGATTTCGATCCAATTCCAATTCTGAAAAAAGTCCGCTTTTTCTTCGCTAGCATGGATGTCGCTTGCGAGTCTGGAGTGTAAGTGTTTAAGAGAGGGTAGGTTGGGTGTGATTGTAGGGATGTGCGTAGGTGTAGGGCTTGGGCTGTGGCGAGAAGAGCACTCTGTCATGCACCGATGACCACACCCTTACCCCAAACTAGACCCCCACAAGCTCACACCTAGAGTCCACACCCCGTATCAATACCCGCACCTCATCTAGACATCCAAGCCCACACCCATTTCCACACTCACTCACAGCCATACGCACTACGCTCATCCACATCCACACCTATAAACAGTCGCAGCCGCATCCAATCCCACGCCTGCATGCTCACCCAGACGCAAACATAGTCGAGCTACATATACATACAGACGCTTTCATGCACCGAATCACGTATAGTTGTTTTTTCTAATTTCCACTCCCTCTTCTCCCTTTCCGTAACTAGCCACAGATACGGTAAATGCCGTGGAAGTCTTAAAAACACTTTTTTTCAAAAAGCCTCACAAAGAAAAAGATTACAGCTTGCTTTTCACAGTTTCGACCATATCTTGACATGCTTGGATGAGATGAAGGCATTATCTTTGGAAGAGCTTCAAGATTTTTCTCGTACAATTCGAGTGCTTTTGAATTTTCGCCCATTTCGTAAAATATTCTGTCGATTGTACCGTAGAACGTTGCCAAATAGAGATAGTTTCCAGGAAGAGTTCTTTGATATATATCAAGCGCCTTTTGGTAAAACGAAAGTGCTTTCAAGTATTCACTGATGCTATTTTGCACGTAATCGATGTTCTGGTAGGATTGAGCCAAATCAGGATGATTTGGTGGCAAAGCTTTCTTTCTGATGTTGAGAGCTTTTTCATGGAACGGAAGTGCTTTCGAGCACTGGTCGATATTTTTGTAGACTTCACCAATGCTGCTGTAGGAAGTACTCAAGTCGAAATGGTTCGGAGGAAGAGGTTTTTGCGGATATCAATGGGTTTTTCACAGAACGAAAGCGCTTTCGAGTACTCTCTTCCATTCTATCATAGACCAGACCGATGTTGTTGTAAGAACACGCTAATTCAGGAGAGTGCATATCTTTCATTTCTTCTTGAATTTGAATGTTTTATTGATGAAATCGAATCGCATCTTGATAGTTTTCTTGATTCATTCTCGCCTGCTCAATGTTAATAGAGAAAACTGCTCTTTCACTCTTCTTCAATGTTCCCCTATTGAAAATCATCGTGTATACTTCCTTGGCCTTGTCATCTACGCCCAGTCTAAATAACAATTGACTCAGTCGATCCCACCATGTCCTACTGATCTCCTTTCACATACATTTGATGAGAACATTCAGAAGTGGATCATTTTCAGCCGTTAACGTAAGTTGCCTATACCATATCCCAGAGTTCTTTGTCGGGCTGTTCGATCTCTATGATGCGAAACACAGTATGCACGAAAAAGAGTACTTCATTTTCTTCATCTCCGAAAGAGCCTACATTGTTGTCGACGAGTGCGAACGGGGTCGTCGACAATGCAAGATCGATGTGCATGATGAAAAGGGCGCCGACTATAGAAGAATCATTATGAATTTGTGGGTTTGGGACAAAGATTATAGAGAATTCTTGCTCGATGCTGATGGAAATGAAAGAGTTGAATGATAAAAGGTCCCCTTTCGTTTGCTGAATTTTTCTTAAATTATCTACGAACAGCCACTGACCACAATACATAGTGAAAGGTGCCTGATAATCAGCTGATTGTTCTCGGTGAGGTTGCTCGATGTAATGATGTAGATGACGAATGGAAAAACCTATCCTAAGCATGATGCCGATATCCAGTGTTCGCAGAGGTCGATTGAATTTGAATAGAGAAAACATTCGTAAGTGTACCACCAGATTTGCGTGTGAAGATTGAATTCTCTTTCGAACATGGTAGTCTTTGCCAATTCGGTATGATTTTCTGTGTACACTTGACGACAATAGGTTGGAAGTTCCTTGATAGCGTTCTCATTATTCTATTCGTCGAAGTCGAATAAAATCTCCTTGAAAAGTTGAGTGTACATGAATGATTTATCGAGTTCATTGAGATTTTTGGCGAATATCGGAGAGTCCTTGCTGTCATCTGGGATAAAACTCATTGGTACCATATCTTGTTCACACTGTTTTACCGGTTGTCGCAGTGCGTCGCAAATATGCTGGATTTAGGTGAACACACCTTTCACTTTCGACTAGTGTTGAGTCCACATTTGGTTACATGGCATGTTCTCGCAATAGACAAAGACTGAATCGAGGGTGTGGGTATGGAAATGGGAGTGGGAGTGGGTTATCCCTCCATCAATACTCACATCTACCCCACCCACATCCTCAAGCATGTGTAGTGGGAGACGAACTGTGTTGAATTCGGCAGCTTCAGAGAAAAAAATGTCGAAAGAACAAGAGCATTCACCCTTGGAAATTTTTGCAACAACTCATGTCACGAGTTTTATTTTTTCTTGCTGGCTTGTTGCTGTGGTGACATGTTACAAGACTAAAATCTGTCAGTGAAACAGCTACGACGATTCTGAGACTATGAGTGGATGACTAAGGGATAGAGCGATGATGTGAATGAGTAATTGAGGGTAAGGATTGGGATGTGTTAGTCAGTCAGTGAGTGTGCATGAGAGCCAAAATGCGATACGTGTATGGGTATGAGAAGGGTCTTGTATTCGTGCGCACACCCACACATAATTTTGTCGTTACAGTTAGATTCTCGGGTGTAGATGTGGGGTGTGAATGAATCGGAAAGAGAAAAGTTTCTCACCTACATCCAGTCATACGCACATCTGCACTCACACCCACGACATTCTCATGATCACATCTCAGAAAGGAAGAGACATAAGCACGAATGCTTCTAGGGTTTTCCTAGTCTCACGGATGTCTACCTATGGCCAAAAGATGAAACTGAAAGCTCAGAATCAGTTGGGATGGTTTCCTCGTAAGAGATTAAGATATGAGTTTCGGTTTTTCGAAAATAAGATCACTGGTCATCAATTAAACAAATGGCTTTCAACTTAAAATATTTCACCTTATAACCATTTTCGTGATATTTTGTTAATGGTAAATTCTCATTGGATTCATGAACGATGGCAATCTCTTATATCGCAGTAATTTTGATGTTTTAATGAATCGATGATTCTACCAATATTAACAAATCGTCATAGAACGCGTATTATGATGCCTATTCATTTGAATAAATATTTTATTTGGATTTACTCATTGATCATATTTTTTAGATGTTCTTAAAAAAATGACAACAAAAATATTTCGCCAAAAATATTTTCGTTTTTTCAGTTTCTACTCAATCAAATTTTTTTATGTCTAGCAATTCTATTTCGTATATCGATCTTGCTTCTTCAAATAAGCGAGTATAGATGCGTAACTACATAGGGTAGTCAGAAAGTTCTGCAAACAGCTGTCTAAAATTTCATCCTAATTAGTTTTATTCCTCATATTGGCCTATTCTAGTAGTGACATCTCTTATGTATTAAAATATCAATACGAAGTTTCACAACTGTCTATTATGGCAAATTTTCAACGAATTTTTTGAACACCCCTGTTTTCAGATGGAAAAACAGTACATACGCTCATATATAAAAACTCGTTGGTTATTAGGTTTAACAGCTACACAAATTCATGGTGAATTAATTACTGCTTATGGACAGGATGTAGTTTCATATTGTACAGTTACTCGATGGATTGAACGATTTTCAAATGAACGAGAATCTTTGGAAGATAATCCTCGAAGTGGTCGTCCAATAGCCAGCAGTACTCAACAAAATACTGATGCTGTTAAAGACTTGGTGAATGATGATCCACATATTAGTATTGATTATATTGGTACTACCTCATACATGTTTATTACATGTATTATTGTGATGAATGTCTAAAAAGATTAGTCAAAAATTTACATACGAAAAAAACATCATCAAAAACATGGCATTCAATTTGCATTTTTTTGACAATGCAAAACCATGTGTGCAAGATATCGATCTTATCTTGATTATCTTCAAGAAGAAAATCAAAGTTATGGCTCATCCACCATACTCACCTGACCTTGCTCCTTCAGATTTTTGGTTGTTCAGTTATTTGAAACGTAGCCTTGATACTTATCCAGATGCTACAAGTTTAGCTAAAGCGTTATCCAAGGAGCTCAATTCAATACCTATTCACGAATACCAAAAGACATTTCAGAAATGGATTGAAAGGATGAAACTTTGTATTGAACATCATGGGGACTACTTCGAACATTTACTGTAAAAAGATTAGCAAAATATTTTGTCTATGAATAAATATTTGAAAGTTGCAGAACTTTTTGACTACCCTATGTAAATTGAAGACAACCACATTCTGAGATAACCTTTTCAACACAATTTGTTATTTTCGTTATTCTTCTAAATCTGATGATTTAAACATTTATTTCAATGAATTCTTAATTCCTATCTAGTTCATTTAATATATTCACAAAAAAAAATTTTCTTTTATAAAACACACAATATATAACTATTGCACATTTTAATTAATTGTTTTTATGAAACATGATCGATCATTTGTATAGATGTTTTCTTTCGTTTATTTGTTCGATCCGGTATTGATATTTGACTATTTGAACAGTATTTTTCTAACCATTCTTCAAATGCTTTACTTAATGCACGACCTGATTTACCAATTTCTGATTCAGGCTAAAACAAAACAAAATAAAAAAAAATACTTAATTACATAAAACGAACACATTTAATAATACAAACTCGATTAAATGTTGAACAATTTTGAAACATTAATCGAACATCAGCTAAAAATTCACTCATATTTGAATATGAATTCAATTTCTCTTTAATTGTACGTAAATCAATGGGTCGAGAAATAATTTTATGATAACCAATACACTTAAATAAATAAATAAAAAAGCAAATTTAATCAAACATTTATTTTTATCTTCATTAACATACATCAGCTGGTACTGGATGATGAAAAGGTACACTTGATGGATGTGTATACATATGTAAAATTAATTTTTCACATATTTGTTTTTCAACTGATGATAATTTATCATTTATATCATCATGTTTACGTTTTAATGATATTGATGAATGATTTATTTCACTACATAAACCACATTTCCATTTATCATTCATTGAAACTTCATTTAATGATGGTACATGACATTCAACATGATATACACGTGGACATTCATCGCAACAAACAAGTTCACCACCACAACGACAAACAGCACAAAAATCATCACTTGTATCAAGTAATATTGTCGATTGAATATCATTGTCATATTTATCCATAGTTGTTGATTGTGAATGATATTTATTTAATTTTCTAAAATATTAATTTTTTTTTTGGTAAAGATTTTATATGAATCTTTTTTTTTTTACCTTTGTTCAATACCATTGGTGTGTTCTAAATAAAATGAAGAAAATTAAATATATAAGTTTCGTTTCTTTTTGTTAAATAGAAAATTACCTTCGGGAAGTCTTAATTTATTGTTATTAGTTATTTTCTTTTTACCATTGTGTATTAATACACCAAGACTTGTTATAGTGGAACGAACATTTTTTGGATCATACGGTGTAAATGTTAATTGAAATGGATTTATTGCTTTTGACCATATAGCATTTTGATGAAGTAGATGATCTAATCGTTTGGTCATCACACGATTAGATTTTAATAATGCCACTTTTGAACCTATGTTAGACAAAAAAGAAAGATAATTAAGATAATTGATTCAATGAACATACTAGTTGTTAATGCCTCATTAACAAAATCAAGTGAATGATCGATATTTTGTAAATATTGTTCAAAACGTGTATTCCTAAAAAAGAAAAATATCATATTATCATAAATAACAAAAAAAGATTCTTAGAAAAGTTTCTTTCGGGCTAAAGTTCTTGCGTCTTATAATACTAATAAAAAATACATTAAATGAAAAATCTCTGGTAGATTTCAGATTTTTTCCGAAGATAATCTATCTTGTTCATTTCTACTTTTGACTCTATATGCTTTGCTTATCTTGACTTGATCAGTTTATGCTTTTTATGATGATCATATGATGACTATGACAAATCACTACCCTTCATCATTGACATCTTGAATATAAATTTTTATCTGTGGAAAAAATCAAAAAATGTATTACTTAAAACATTTCCAAATGTATTTCACCTAGTAGAGTTTCAACGAAGGCTTCTAGAACATTCTACGTCGTGTTGCGAATGCAATTCAGCACCTTGTCCTTGGTTGTTATGAGGGGAAAGTTGAATAACTTCGAGTTAAAACTTACACTCACTAGATTTTTCTTCGAAAGAACATAATGAGAGTTTCACAAAATTTATTAATTATTCATAGACTTTAACAAGAATGCAGTGATAAAACGAAAACTATCCGTATAATGTAGAGCATAGTTATTGTTAATTGTGTGTTTATAGAACGAAGAAGTTTTAGCTGTAGAATACAACTATAGCACCTCTAAGCCTAAAGCAAAGTAAAATTCTTGTTAAAAAAAACAAAGGTCTTTGAAGATTTGCAATGATTTTTCATTTGAATAAGTTTCGAATTTATTATGTTAAGAGTTGTTCATGTAGACAAAATGTTTCTCACTATTATACAATATACCATTTCGAATCAATGTCCAGTTCTAATAAAATTCAAATGTCTCATTTTAATTTATCTTTATATATTTTTCTAACATCAAAGAATTGTGTTTGGGTTAGATCGAATGCAACTGCTCTTTTCAATTTCAAGACAGTTCATATGAATTTACCAAGAGAAAAAAAGATGCTTAATCTGTGAGACATCTGTCGTTGATAGACTAAAAATTACCTTTGACTTCTGGTTAAGCCACTGGAAACATTTTCAATCTCTGGCAAGAATGGGTCAAGTCTCGAAACATTGCTCCATGTCGGACACTGATCCAAACTATTGACAAAAATTTAAAACTATCAATCCCACTTTTCCGGCTGGAAAACATTCATCAACATATTTATGTTAGAATAAAACTTAGAGCGATCAATCTCATATTTTGAAGTCGCTCGATTAGAAAAATTAAAGATTTCTTTTTTTCTTTGAATTACTTTTCGGTAAATTGTGTTCGAGCTTGATTACATAATGTTGTTGTATCATTAATTAATTGTTTACATGCTCTACTAACTTCAGCAATCATATTTAAACCAAATAATTTAATATCATCAATAACTTGTCGTTCGGTTTGATCAATATCAGATCGTTGTTGATTTCTTGTGTGCTGAATTTTATTTAACATTAAACGAACATCACGAACTTTATTGACTAATGAATGAAGATTTGTTTTTTGATTTTGTATTGCTTCATCAATAAATAAATAACGATGATTTTTATGAAGTGTTATTTGACATTCATCACTAATATAACCATCAAAAAAATAATTAACTTAAATATTAAAATAAAAAAGAATACTCAACTAACCATGTTAATGTTTGACAATCCTGACAAAAATTTCGAGCTAATTCCTCGCCATGAATCTAAATAATAAATATTTCAAAAAAAAAAAAAAATACGACATTACGAAAATTTTATATTAACAAACTTGACATAGTAATTTTTCATTATGAGTTATTCCTCGTATTAGTCTTGCTTCTTCATTAGATTTTTGTGTTACAACATGATCCTTTGTTAAACGAACTCTTGCATGAGCATTTTTACATTGAATACAAAGCCAATCAGCACAATTATCGCAATACCTAGATTTATAATATCAAATAAGTATAATATTGAATTCAAGAAAAATTGTTAATATCTCATTACAAGACTTTATTAAGATTTAATGCAAACTTCTAGTTGTGTTTAAACAGGAACCGAATTTGGACACATCATTTGCCTTTCTCTGGCAGAGAGTAATATGAAACTAACAAAGAAACTACTGCCTGAGCTGATACCCATCGTTTAACCTCATATTGGGTACATTAGATAATCCTATAAGGATTCGAGTCCACCACCCTCTGGAGCCGGCAAATTGAATAACAACGACTAGTAGAAGTTTTCAAAAGATGAACATTCATTGCAAAAATCTAGTTTATTTGAAAATTTAATATCTTCATAAAGAGATATGCGCTAGTAGTCATTCGATCTGTTCATAAGCGAAACTTTAGCTTCAGGGAATCTATGAACTCGAACTCTTTTATATCTTGTTTCACAAAGAAACTCCACAAGTCTATACAAATTGAAATACAGCAAGCGCATCAAATCTTGATAATCTTGATATTTATCTGAGTTTTTGCTTGATTCTATTCATCATATAATTTTTTTGTCTAATTATATGCCGAGTAAAACAAAAAAATAGGGAAAAAAAATTTTCTTATATATTTTCTTATTAAGCTCAATGAATTGTTATTAATTTTCGAAAATTATGAACATCTTACCAATCAGCCATATTGCCTTCTTCACAATTACTACAATGTGTAGATAAACCATTTGCTTCTGTTTCTTCTGTTGCAAAAAAATTCTCACAAATTGTATCTCCACGACTTTTATGATTGCATAGCGGACATGAATAAATTGTTCCTAATAAACCCCCGAATGCAAAAAAAAAAGAAAATAACAAATAATATTTAATAAAATAAAAACGAAAAGTTTTACCCGATATATCTTTTATTTTATCTAAACATTGGTTACAAACCGAATGAAGACAAGATAAAATTTTCGATGAACATGAACGAAGATCCTGTTGACATGATATACAAATAGTTAATGATTCTTCATTTGTTATTGTTATACGATTATCATTTGGTGTTGGATCATCAATTAAAAATGAATTAAATGGTGAATTTCTTTTATCTTCAACATTAGCCATTCTATTTGTTGTTGCTATTATTGTTACAGAAAAAAATAAAATAAAACAAACAAACGTGATGCGTTCAATGATATACATTGATTGGTTGATTTAAATAAACCAATCAAACTCAATAATTTAACCCCTTTGTGTATATCAAACTCTTTGTTATATTAATAAACGATAAATCGATAAAGTCTATACGTATCTTTAAAAAGTTTTTTTTCGTATAAATTCTATCATTAAAATCGAATGCCGGTGGCTATTGATGTTGGCCAACGTGTACTCGTCTATAATCCTTCACACGGATGGACACTAGCATATTTTGTCACTGCACAACAAACAAATGATAATAAACTTCAAATATTAGTAAATACATATCAAAAAATAAAAGAGAACTTTTTTTTTAAATTTTTTTTCTAATTTTCCTAGACATGTCGTTTATCAAATTGTCATCATAAAGCAACATCACAAGATCATTATCGTTATCCACCTGAACGTGTAGCTTTAAATGATACAGTTAATAATAATCTAAATGTTGGTACACGTGTACTTTGTATGCCAAGTGGTGATGCTGATACATCAAGATATATTGATAAACCATTACGTGGTATTATAGCTGAACAACCATCATTAATTAATAATCAACGTTATTTAATATTTTCTGATAATGATGCACCATTTTATTTACGTTCAATAGCAATACATTTATTACTTGAATCATTATCAAATTATTTATCAAAAGTTGATACTGGTACAAAACATTATATTGAGAATTATGTTTTAACATATCCTAAACGACGTCTTGTTAATATATCAGCTAAAGATCATATTAATATTGAATTAAATGGACAATGGATTGATGCTATTGTATCAAAAGTTGAAGGTAGTCTTATACGTGTTTTTCTTCCATTATTAAATAAACATGAATGGCATTATCGGGGTTCATTAAGATTACAACCATTATTTAATTCATTATCATCATATGAACCACCATGTAAACGTTTAGCTATAAGTAAAGATATTAAAATTGATAATAAATGTCATTTTCTTTTAATACCATTAAATCAAGGATGGAAACGACAAATACGTAATGATTTAGGTACAATTGTATATATATCACCATGTGGACAAATGTTTACGGATGCTGAACGTTTACAAACATATTTATTTCAAATAGATTCATTATTAAATATAAAACAATTTTCATTTGATATGAATTGTCGTGTAACACAAAAATTTATTTCACCAAAAAAATCTTTTATACAACTTGAAGATTATTCATATGAACGTGAAAAAGTACCATTAATGTTAGTTAATGAATATGATACAACATTACCGAAAACATTTGAATATATTACAGATAGAATACCCTTAACATCTGATATAATTATTGATAAAAATACTATACAAGGTTGTTCATGTTTAGATGGTTGTTTAGATACATTAAAATGTGCTTGTTGGAAAAAAACTTATGATGGTATTATTCAATCACATTATTATGAAGATTTAATTGGAGAATTAAGAGAATTATTTGATGATAATGATGGTAATTTAGAAAATATGAGATTATATCTTTATGATGCTTTAGCTAAAAGAAATTTTGGTTATAAACATGGACGATTACTGGAAAAGATTCATTCAGGTATTGTTTATTAAAAATTCTATCATCGATATAAAAAATTAAGGGTTTGAGAAATAGGACGTATTTAAGAGTTGAATTGCTATGTAAAAATTTCGAAATGTACTATTGACTTTTATCATATAATTTCGAATCTTAATCCTTTAACCCACTTGTTGCGACTTAGTCAAAATTTACCTAAAGATAAAAGCTATTAGCAGAATGATTACAGGATTAAAAGGTAACTTACGATATAGCTGCTGTTGCTATTTACATTGGATTGTTTTCTTCTATGTATTTCGGGACACATTTCACCAACCTTGTAATTAATCCTTCAGATATGCAATAAAGGACTAGTTCATATAGTGTAACGAGATGTTATTCATATACAATCTCTGATGGTCACGGCCGCAAGGAGGGTTTAAGCAAATCGATTTGTGAGTATGTGCATTTAACGGATCTTAATGGGCTATGAATATTCTGAACAGAGTTCTGATTATAACCTTATCACTGCTGGGATTCTACTTTGGGGTATTTTCTGGCATAATGTTGTAGTCACTGTCGAGAAAAGCTGGTTTGAAAGTTACAGACGTAGAGAATCAATCTATGCTTGCAAACATACGTTTGGAAAAACTTTCTTTAATTTATTTAGCTGAAAGAAACCTCTAAGATATATTTATTAATAGGTTTTTATATATGATTTTTTCATATACTCAACAAATCGATCGTTTCTCTCTCATTGTTTGAAAATGTGCAAGGAAAGAATAGAATCCTGTCTTTTGTTGTATTATAAAATACAGTAAAAAATACAATATATCTGCAACAATAAACTAATAGCTCGAACTCTTTTCAGGGTATTTATAGGTCATTGCGACCTGCATGTTGTGTATAGCTGTAATTCAGGAGCTATGACACACTTACAAACATTCGCTAGTTATAACATGAAAAATAACGTTTAGTAACTATTTCAATACCAATTAACGGTCGCGTCAAAAATATAGAAGGATGTCTGTCTTCGACAACCAAACAGGATAATTCAAGGATTAGTTCGGTTTAATAAGAAATTGAAAAACAATGCAAAGGGATCAGTTTACTTTAGCACATACCCCTAACAACATTGTCGAAATCGTTCATCTCCCTAATTCTGTTTTCTGTGATGTGATTCAGATGCATCCCTAACGTCTGTATATTTTGTTTTTGCTTTGTTTGAAGGTATTTATGAATGTAATGGAAAATGTAAATGTGATTCACGATGTACAAATCGATGTGTTCAATTTGGTTTAAATACTCTTCTTCAAATTTATAATACATGTGAAAAAGGTTGGGGTGTAAGAACACTTTATGATTTACCCGCAGGAACATTCTTAAGTTTTTATGCTGGTGAAATACTCAATGATGAAGATGCTAATCGACGTGGTGTACAAAAACATATGGGTGATGTTTATTTTACCGCATTAGATTTTGTTGCATCATTAAATCCATCATCATCAAGGAAACCAAGACCAATGATGAATATGAATAATGTTAATCATATTGAAAATATGAATATAACTTCTGAAATACAACAACATAATGGAAGTAAGTTTTATTTTCTAGATTTTTTGTTTTTATTTCGAATAATATTATAAGTTATTTTTAATTAAGATGGTCATACATATTTTGAAGAAGAAAATATTCCAATTGAAAAAACAAAAGCATTTCTTGAATATCAACAAGCTAATTATGATCCTGGTATATTTGTTATGGATGCACATTTAAAAGCAAATGTTTCACGATTTTATAATCATTCATGTTCACCAAATGTTTTTGTTCAAAATGTATTTATTGAATCGTGGGATGTACGATTTCCTTGGGTAGCATTTTTTACAGCGACGAATATTAAAGCGGGTACAGAACTTGTTTGGGATTATTCTTATGAAGTAAGTTTGAAAGATACATTTTTTCTCTTGATGATAAATTGTTTTGTTTTACTTAGGTTGATACGGTAGAAAATCGTGTTTTACATTGTCGTTGTGGTTCAGATGAATGTCGTCATCGATTACTTTAATTCGTTGTGTTTGGTCGTTTATAGTTTTCTTCCATTACGCTCATCGAATATTGTTTATTGTATTTTGGAAGAAAAATTATTATTCTTTTTTTCTTTTTTTTTTTGTGTGAGATATTGTATAGAGAATATAATTATATATATATATATGTATAAAAGAACGTATTAAAAGTATTATTAGATGATATTATTAAACATATTTTCACATAGAAAATTGACAAGGAAATTTGTAAAACAAATGTTAAGACTGAATAAAATTGTTTTTTTTTGTCATGGTAAAAATGTATGAAAAGTTTTTACATTGTATAACAAGATAAAAAAAATGACCCAGATGATTTCCAGTCATTAGAATTGGTACACAATGAGATTTTTTTGTTTTCGTTGCTTGAAAATTGAACCGAAAATAGAGAATTAGTTGAAATAATGTTGTTACAGAATACTATACTAAGAAATGAATTATGTCATGTCGGTTGTTAATAGTCTAATTTAATGCAGTTCTAGAAAATTATCATGTTTAAGAAAAAAATATTAGCGTAGTTTCTGCTAGATTAAAATATGAAACAAGATTGATCGACATATATCATAAATTAGTGTTCCGCAAACGTACTGATAGAATCTGCTATGAAAGATGTTATTCATAATATGTTACAGTGAGATTGGAAAGCAGATCAAAGTCGGATGTTTTAAATTCAATCTTTATTTATAACAATCCTACAGAAGATTTTTATTCCGTGAGAAACTAGATCAAAGGTCGAGATGATCCTTAGTAGCGTCGGCAATGGATTGCCACTAAAGTATCCGTTACACACTCTGAGGAACATGTTCAAATTACTACAATTACAATTCAACACTTCTATCAGATCGCGTTTCACAAAATTATCGAAAGAATACACTGCTTAATATTCAGATGGGATTTGCATGCATTGTATGCCATGAAATAAAATACTGTAATGTCATTGCTCTATTATTGATCAAATATTGGTCTTTTATTAGAATAAAAGTAAATAATTCAATATTCTACGACTATTTTTCTTTCCTCTTCGAATTATATAAATAATTTTTTTTTGTCTACATTTAATTTAAAATAATATCAATCTTTGTTTATGGATTATATTTGTTTCTATTGATTTTAAGATTGCATTCAGTTTATATTACATATTTAATTAGTTTTGTGTTTTTTTTATTTATTTTGACATGGGTTTTTTTCTCTCTAATATAATAAAAACTTTTTTTTGTCAATCCATAGAAGCACAATTTTAAATCAATATTTATGATTTTTTTTTACAGACGAACAACGTCTGATTATTTCATACACAACTAAAACATAAGCTCATCGCATAGAAAATGTTATAAATTCAAGGTATGACAGAAATCTAATTGAATGTGTTTTCATATTGAATTATAGAAAATGAATTTTCTAGAAAGTTATTAAAATTTTTCATCCCATTTGTTTTTCTTTTTTGCTAAATAGTCTAAATTTATTTCAAAGAACAAGCATTCTATAAAATAAAAGAAAAAAAAAGAATAATTGAGTGAAGATGATAGAAAATGAAATAAGACTTTCTTGAGATTAATAATCATAAAAGACATAGGAGATAAGTAAAAATAGAATAAACTATTGACAAAAAGCATTAAGAAATAGTCAGAACAAATCAAATAAGTCAATTATTTCACATTCTATTATGATATTACTATTGTACAGTAAAGTATCATTAGAAAAATCATCTGCAATGTCAATTATTTTATCGACAGTAGAATGTTTCATTTTACTTGTCATCGAAAGGAGTTGACCGAAAGAAAAAAAGAAAATACTGCATACCTTGTTCTTTTACTTTGCTTTATTCTATATGTCATGTCAAAGGTATTTTAGGTCAGCTAAACCGTTAATAATTCAATGATTACTATCAAAGAGTATATTCACAGTGAACTTTTCATTTTTTAGATGATTTCCTTTAATAGCTTCCCTTATATATACGATCAGTAATTTACAACTTATAATTAAACATATAACAGATTCCTATAGGACTGGAGAGGTTTTCAGACACCTGTATGCTCTCTTGAGTTAAAAATACTTGAAGAAACGTAAAAATCCACTAAATGAATAGAGTTTTTCCAATAACATTTCTTCTGTGTGAATAAATTTTTCGAGAGTCGAAACTGTCCCATCGAATCCTAGTTTTCCAGTCTCATGAAAACTACCATAGTCATAGAAAAAAAATTTCATTAATATCGTCTCGAACTGCTCTGGAATCGTTTTTTTTTTTGAAAATTATTGACCCAAGCGTGAAAATTTGAGTCCTGAATAATCAGTGCATGAATTAGAAGTGAATTAATGAAGTCTATTCTTTTTTGTATGATTTGATTCAACTCATGAGTTAAAAATAAATCTGTTATTAATCTTTCGTGTGCTTGAATTTATTTGATCTACTACATAACTCTACATTATCTGAGGTGAACAATATAATGTACCTTATCATTCTTCTGTATAGTTTAAATATATATATAATATTCATCTGATTATTAATTATATAGCTGATATAAAAAGTAACTTTGGATATATATATACATGCATGTAATTTGAAGAAAACTTCACCATTAAATCAATTATAACACATTAGTACATCAGAATCATTATGTATTTCTAGTAGCGACCAATAAACTTGTCAACAAACACATCGAAAGAAACTCTTCTATACGATGATTACTAACAATGATGATGTTCTTACACTACCAAGTCTACCTGATTCAACTTTATTCATTCGTGTTGGTACATCCGGTGTTCGTCATCTTTTTCCTATTCATCTAACTGATATTGATTATAGTGATGATTTATTTTGTCGTTCAATATCTTATTTACGTTTTCATACTCCAACAAGTAAACAATGTACAAATATTGAAATGATTCGTAATATATGTTTATCAGTTCAAACATTAGAACATCTTGATATTAGTGAAAATGAACTTGAAGATTTACCAACAGAAATTTGTTTACTTATTCATCTTCGAACATTAAATTGTTCACATAATAAACTTACAACTATATCGAATTCATTTGAAAAATTAAATCAATTAAAACGACTTGATTTATCATTTAATAATATAAAACGTTTACCAATTGTTATCTATACATTTAAACATCTTATACGATTAAATTGTGAACATAATTCAATTAAAATAATCGATATAGATATATTAAATCTTAAATATTTAAAAATTTTTATATTTGATCATAATCATATACAAACACTTGATACAATTGATTTTAGTCAAATGAAAAAACTTGAATGTGTACATATAGCTCATAATCAATTAATTAAATTTCCACGTAATCTTCATAAATTAAATTATTTAAAAAATATTAATTTATCTCATAATTGTTTGACTAGTTTTCCAATTGAATTATTACTTATAAATACACTTGATGAATTAAATCTTAGTTATAATTTTCTAACACAATTACCACCATTATTAGGTATTTATAAACGAACATCACTTATGTTTTCAATTGATTTATCATTTAATCAATTAATAAAAATTTATGATTATCTTCTTTTAATTTCTTTGAAAGTTGATCTATCAAATAATAAAATTCAATCAATATCAAATGATTTAAATCGAATATTAAATTATGATATAATTGCAAATCGAGAATTAAAACTTAATAATAATCCATTAATACAACCAATAATTTTATCGGAAATTCTTCATGAAGAAAATAAAAATTCAAGAAATATTCTTGAAATAATACGTTCATGTTTTGAAGAACAACAAATTAATGAAATTGTTCGACAAGGTTTTAAAATATATATTACTGGTTGTAAAAAAAGTGGTAAATCATCATTAGCATATTGTCTTGAAGAATATAGACCATTAATAGATGATGAAAAAGAAGAAAGAATTGTTAATAGTAAGTCAAAATAGTTAAATTTCAATATCGATGATGAACTTTTTTTTTTTTTATTTGGTTTAAATAGTTCTTCAATTTCCATTTCATTTTGAAATAAACAATGATCATTCAACTTTAGACAATAAATCTCAAACTCGTTTACCAAGAAAATCTGTTGATTTACCTAGAATTGAACAACCACAATTTGATATTGATATACGAAAACAAAAACGACTTTCAATGATTTCACCAAAACAGGCTGCATTAGTTACATCAATATCTCCTTTATCATTCGATTCAAATAAATCTATTCCATTAACTATATATGATTTTAATGGATCACCAGAATATTATGAATATGTATCAACATTTATTGATACGAATGCTCTTCATCTTATTTGTATTCATACATTTGATTTTGATAAAAAAACTCCTAGAAATATTGAAGAAATATTTAGTGAAACTTTTGATATAACATCATATCCAATAATCAAACAATTATTACAAATATTACAAATTCTTTGTGAAAAAATAATTAAAACAAATGCTATTATAATATTACCTATTGCAACATGTATTGATCTATATGATAAGCAATCAAAAGAGGATAAGTAAGATATTTTGCTTTCTTTTCTTTGTTAATGAATATTTTTATTATTATATTTAAACTTTCGTCTATAGAATTCAAGTATTAGATAAAATTAATAAATTCTTTCAACTTTATCTTCAATTTCGTATTAATCGAATAAAACATGAAATTGAACAAATTAATTGTCATCAAACAATATCATCTTCTCTTTCGGATCGTCTTAAAACCTATACTGCTCTTCTAAATATTAATGTACAAATTAAATCTTGTCAAGCAATTAGTTCATTAACATGTCAAGGTATTAATGAACTTAATCAAAAAATCAAAGATTATATTTTAACAGAAAGTACTATCTTTCCGCATATCAATAGAATTTTACCAACACTTTGGGCTGAAACAAATCGATATATTGAATCATTAGCAGATGATTTACCTGTTCCGTTTCTTCAATGGGAAAATTATACGACTCATATTATTAATAAATATGGACTTTCAGATTTAATCAATGATATAACAATATCATTATGTGATCAAGGAAAAATTTTAGTTTTAAATGAAATTGGTACAAAAAATCGTATTGTTTTTCTACGACCATTATGGTTAGGAGATCTTCTATCATCATTATTTCATCATGATAATTTATCTGAATCAACATACCAATCGTATAGAAAAGAATATCAACAATATGGTCGTTTACATTCAGATCTTATTCATTCATTATGGATTAATTTGTTACATAAAAAAGAATATTTTTATCATGTTTGGAATATATTAATGCGTTTTTTATTAATTGCATATCCAAAAATAAATAAAAAACAATTAAAAAAATTTTTAAATTCCGAAGATAAAAATGAAATAAAATTTGATTATTTTATTGTTCCATATTATTTACCATTGATTAATTTGAATGAACAAAAAGAAGAAAAAATAGATTTTTTAAAACAATTTACTAATAAAGTTAATATATGTTATCAAAGTTCAATGTTACCATTAGGATTTTTTCATCGATTTTCTGTTTTGGCTATATTAAAATCAGATGTTATTTATATAAAGCATTGGAATAATTTTATTATAGGTGAACATAAAGAAAAACAAGTTAAGTAAGTTAATAAAAGCTATGAAATCTTTTCTCTTTTTTTTTTTTATTATTATTATATTAAATATATTTTATAGATTTATTATTGAAACAAATCATCATACATATATACATTTTTATTGTGGAACAAATCTTACTCAACAACCATTTGATAATATATGGAATGTACTTATGTCATTACTTTATCTTGTTGAAGAAATGTTTAAAATTTTAGCTCCTAGTAAGTNAACGTAAACATATCATCAATTCTTTAGTATGAGAAACGTACTTTTAGAAAAAAACCTTAATTTTTTCTAAAATAATAATGAAATACATATTTTTACTCAGTTTGTTGAGCTTTATCTAACCATGTCTAAGAAAAATGAAAACAAAAAAAACTTCGGTCGAATGACAAAAATGTACTTTACCTTGATTGAGACACAATAATGCTAAATTATTTAATTGCTTCCCTACATCAGGATGATCCACACCGAAGCATTTTTCTCGAATTTCTAATGCTCGTTTACATAATGGTTCTACGTAATTAAAAGGAGATGATTTAATAACATGCAACAAAAATAAAAACAAATTTTTAATTCAAATTACCTGCTTCTTTATATCGATTCTTTTTTCCATAAAGTACAGCTAAATTGTTTAAAGTTGCAGCAACTGCAGGATGTTCAAGACCAAGTGTTTTTTCTCGTATTGTTAAAGCTTCAGTTAATAATTGTAATGCTTCTTTAAATTTATTTTGATCACGATAAACTAATGCAAGTATATTAAGCATTGTTGCTACATCTGGATGTGTATGACCATGAGTTTTTTCAAGATCTTCAAGTGCTTGTCGACATAATGGTACAGCGACTTCATATCGACCAGCTTGTGCATATTGAATAACAAGATTATGTAGTGTACGAAAACGTGCTGGAACTTCCGAATAATTTTTTATATCAGGATTAGTATTAGAATTAATTGAAGTTTGTTCTTTTGTTTCAGATGGCATGTCTTTATCAATATCTATAGAATTAGTTAAATTAAAATTTTCATTGGTTGTTATAGATGCTAATGATTCATTTAATGCACGAATATCTTGTTCATACTCTTGTTTCATTTGTGTACTTGTTTGTAAATGTTTTTCAGTTACAGATAATTCATCACGTAACCAATTATTTTCTTGTGATAATCGTTGTACTTGTAACATTAATTTATATGTTTCACTATCAAGATCATCTAAATGATTTTCAAGTTGTAACATAACAATAGCTTCATCAATACCCAAATCAATTGTTTCAAGAGATTGTTGAATATGTGTACGTTTATCATCATTAGTAGAAGATGAAAGTAACAAATTATGTTCTTGTCGTAATGTTTCAAGACTGGATATAATTGATCGAGTTGAATGAGTTAAATCATGAGTTAAAAGACTTGTAGTCATCTGAAATAAATTCAAAAAAATATCATCAAGGTTAAACAACTCGCATTCAGATTAATTGAAAGCATAATTAAACGAACATGTGACACGTAACGGTATACTGTTTTTTTACCTATAACAAACGTGTGGACGGAAGAAAAGAAAAAGGAAAGAGAATGAGTAAAGATGGTGCTCATGAAATACAATATGCTCTTTTGTGTTAGTTGTTTTTTTTTCTTTTAATATTTTTTTTACTAAAATTATATATGAAAATAATGAGAGAAACTAACAAAAGTGATTACACAATATTGAACAAATGTACAATTTATTTCATCTTACCTTATCGCACTAGACTGTTCAAAAGAAAAAAGAAATAGTTGGTTAAATCATTTGCCTGTCTCGATGCCACTAGGCATATACATGTCGAGTATTTTTTCTTTTTTTTTTTCTTTTCGCTCTACTACCATCACTTCTAATAATGATCGAATGCATACGTGTCAGCTGTTACAGAGAAGACGCAAACGCTTAATCTCAAATCAATAGAAACAAGCAAAAAAGAAAAAAAAAAGAAGAAAAAAGAAGAAAAAGAAATGGAAAGAACAGCATCTTAGATTTTTATAGGTGTTGTGTTTTTTTGCTCGTTTGTGTTTCTTAGGAGTTCATTTTAAAACCATTTAGTCACGAAGAAAAGTAGAATGAGCAATCTGTCGCTAGTAGTAAGAAAAGCAAACGAGGGTGGTTTGACAACATATTCAAAGAAAAAAAAAACGGAGAAAGGAAGATGCGTATTTTTCTCTCTCTCTCTCTTTTGAATTTTACATTTACCTCGACGTCGGGACGAGGTCATAGGGCTACAAGTAAACATTGAACGACATATAGCCCGATTCAGTTATTTTCGACTGCTTCGAATTTTTAGAAAGAAATTTTTATTTTCAGATACAACGATTTTCTCTGCGAAATCATGTGTTGTTTTTTATTTTATTATTTCTGTTATGTTGATCGATTATTAACGTTGTCGAAAAACAAACTTCAATTGAGCCTTTTTGTTAAACAAACATACTGAAGTATGAAAACAAACAACATCAATAAAATTCTTATGTTATATTTATATGATAATATTTTTGGAAAGATAAATCCAATACAACAATACGAAACAAACAAATGCAAACGAGCAGCAATCGAATAAATTTCATTCAAATTTTTGTCACTTGAAAAGAAAATTTGATAAAAAGTAAATTTTAGGCGTTAAATAATTTTTCAAGATCAACGTATTTTTGTCATTTCCTTTAATGGAGATGCTTTTTAGTCATCATAAATCAAGTATAAATAACTATTTGATTATAATCATTAAACTTTCATGTATTGATCAATCAACAAGTTAAATGAATCATGCATGATAAAAATTGAGAGCAATCTTCTAGGTCTCAAGGTCAATCATGTTGTTATGTTATCAAATGTTATTTTAAGAAGAAAAAAAAATAAAGAATGATACCGCAATGAAAGATTCAATAATATTGAATAAAGAATTTATTTCATTGAAAAATCGATTCTATTTCTTTTTTTTTTGTTGACAATAAATTTAACTTGATAATCAATTTTAAATTGATCAATCATATTACTATTTTTAGTTATGCATGACAAGGGAAATGTAATATCTGATATATGAATATGAAGGTTATTACATTTGGTATATAACAATGTCAAGGATAATACATTTTTCTATTTATAAATTGATTCTAATTAGTTCATATTATTTTTTTCTCTTAAAATGAGGCCAATCAAATATTGTATAAACCTAAATATAAATATTGTGCATATGTTGTGCAACTTTTATTTCTATTTCATTAAAGTGCATTGAAAAAAAAATCAAATATGAATTGTGTCATTTCAGTCAAACTCTCGAAATTATTCTTACGTTGTATTAAAATCAGATCAAACAATGCTCATGGACATGCTGATGGCTAATATAAAACTTGCTCATGTGTGAATAATTAGGACAATTGAATTGAGTTTTTCGATGAAATATAATTTCGCGACACTTTTCTTTTTATGACTTTCTTTCTTTCTTTTGAGGGATACCAATTGAAAACAACTAATAATCGATCAATCATTTGTTATATTCATGTTGAATTACATATATATAAAAAAAAAAGAAAAAGCAAAAAGATGATAAAATGAATCAGTGAAGCTAAGAATAATGATTTTTATTAACGACGAGGCGTTATTGATACGACAATGAACACAAAAGCATTGTTTCTTATATCCTCATTTATTATGCATGCAATTTCTTTTTCTTTTTTCGGAGTGTGACACATAGTACCTATTCAGCTCATTGAATTTCTTCATCAATTTCATTATTCTCTTCTTTCCGTTCTAATTTTTTTTCTTCGTCTTTCGCTCTTTTGTATTCACTTGTATATAAAGTTGCGCGACTAATATAAATTCTGAATTCTTATTCAGCTGCTTATAGATACAATTCTACTTTTTTTGAAATATCAAGCATATAAATTCGTATTGAATCATTATTAGCGAGTAAGCATTTTTTGTCTTTTGTATAATCAAACAGTCTGAAGACAAATCATATCTGACAAGTAGATGACTCAAAAAATGCAAACTATATGCTTAATCATACATAAGGAGAAGATGCGTTTAATCATGTATACACAAAGATATAATCTGTTACGATGTAGGCGATGACAAGTATGGCAAAATGATTTTTCTGTGTAAAATGACATTTATACCTGCTGTGAAAATGATGGAAAAAATAACGACATTGACAACAATAATAGAGATTAGTTTGTATTTTTATAAATGTATTCCATTCAAATATGTTTCCAGAAAGTACTAGGAGGAGATTACATGCAAAAATTCATATTGAGTTACGACAATCATCCTGTTATTATTCTTTATGAGTAATGTCAACGAAGAATAATAAGTCCACCCGAAATCTTTTGCTGTTGCAGTCATGTTTTTTTGTCAGGCTAGAGAGTAATATCAAGTAAGATATAGTTTATTACAGATATGGGATCAGTTTGTAGTTTTTAAGAACCGAGACGAATTGAATTGATCCCATCTCTGATTTATCAGCCGTTGTTGTGAATTCTAAAATTCATAATTGTTTTGATTGACAAATTTTTGTTGAAAACTTCTCAGTAGGAAACTCTGCATAACCCATATCAATTTTTATCCACATACTTTATATGATTTAAAGTGATACACTGTTAAAACATCTCCCCCCGTCTTCTTTTGCTATATTTTCTTTTTGTAAACCTTTCCCCACAACAGAAGACTGTCCTTAAGGAACGATGCGTCGAACGTAACAGATGATACCTCTTAGTTAATTAATATCTCACAAAATTGGAACTTCATTTAGTATATCTATGTCAAAATATGTCTAGTTTGCCGGGTTTTGAAGCAAAAAATGTTCAAAGACTGAGGTCAATATAATTCTGGAGCTTTTAAAATTCTAAAAACTTCTTTCTGAACTCTCGAGGCTCGTTCAGTTTTCTGAAAACAGTCTTTTCATTAAAAATTTTGAAAACCAATGAGATACAATAGAAGATTCCCTGAAAAATTCATACTCTTGGGCATAATATAAGACCCAATGTCTTCTATAGCAGAGGAGGCGGTTATTAAATACATTAGTGAATCATTATTTGAATTAGTAACAATAATACTGACAAATATTTATGATTTAGACTCTTTTGTAAAGCAATGACTGCTATTCCTTCATTACCGTTATTATTATTCATGGCAATTCTATTTGATGTAAATGCACAATGGTTTATTATGAAGAAAAATTATCCATCAAAAGCAATGAATTATCCAAATCCTGGTAAAAGAAGTATAACAGAAGAAGAATTCAAATTATTAAATATCGATTGTTCTATACCTTATTCATATTTCAATTCGTATAAAGAAAAAATGGCATGGTTATTATCATGTAGTTATGACAAATTACCATTAACAATAATAAATGATTCATCATCATCATCATCATCATCATCTAATTCGAATAGTATTGAAGATGAGCTATATTCTATACCTGAATTTATCTCTCAAGAACGCAGAACCCCACGTTCTATTCCACCTTATTTTCATGAACATCCTGATTTATTCAATAGACGACGATTACTCAAACGCTTAAGACGATTCACGAACAAATAATTGACAAATCGTGCGAATTTCTAATGATATTATTAGTTTCTATTCGAATTTATATAGATTCATTTTGCTTTATAAAGCAATGAGAAAGAATAAACCAATTTAAATAAGTATTCAATATATTCTCTTTTTTGTTGTTGTTGTTATAAAATAAACATTTATTTTATTTTTATATGGTATGAATGAACATGGAAAAAAATGTACTGTTCATTTTTCATCAAACCACATACGGGCAGAATCTTCATTTATAGCATAAGGATGGTCGATACTCATTAAATCACTACGTTTACCCCAACCTAAAGTAAATAAATATAGGTCGATGTAGAGAAAAAAAAACAAAATTTCTTAAACATACCAACGCCTTTTCGTTTAACTAGTGGCGGAACATAGTCATCCTCTTCATATTCATGAATTGGATAAGCCCAAGAAAATTTTTTTACTGCCATTGGACGTGCATCGGTAGCAATTCGACTGATAAAATATTGGTAGATGATTAAAGTAATGACGAAGAAGAAGAGCTTCATGTTGAACTGATTATATGTTAACCAATTGATGAAATGAAAATAGGAAATGAGTTGACGTGAGAATTAAACTGAAAGAAAAAAGAAAAAGAAATAGCAAATCACGGTGCTTGTCTCGTACAAATCGGTGATTTTAAATACTCAGCTCGTTGCCATGAATGAGAAAAAAAAAGCACGAGAGAGAGAGAGAGAGAGGGAGAGGGAGAGATAATCAAATACACTTCACATTTATATTGCTTATATTATTCATATATTTTGTATTCAATTGAAAAGTTTTAATACTGTCCAGGATATTACACATTAGTGCACAGATTAAGAGAAACGTGAAAGGGTAGTAAATAAAAGTCAATGTTTTTTTTAACGTGATGTCTATCTATTCATAACTTGTTCTCAGCAATTTATCATTTATTCATTTTTCAATGACTATGAGTAAAGCTACGCCTTCTCAACACTCGGAGGCGGAATTACTCGTTTTTTTTCACGATCAATTGCACAAACATTGAAAAAAAATTGTGAATAAACATCAATCGATTGTTAACATTATATTTGTAGTTAGACTTTTTCTGATTGAATCAATTGATTATTTTCAGTAGATTGACGTTACGTGCCAAGGACCAGTAATGAAATAGTGTTTTATTTTAATTACATACCGAAGATAGTCTAAAAAAAATTTGTCTTTACTGTTTCTTTTTTTTTTTCAATAAAATCTTAAATTTTCGAATGTCTAGTCGTATGATATTCAATGTTTTGAATGTTAGTCTTCTTGAAAATGGAAATTTCTTAATGAATTTTTGGAGCATGTAAATATTTAGAAATAAAGAAAAAATGTTCATTTTGTTTTTGTTTAAGTTCAAATCAAATCATCATTTATCTGTAAACATGAGGACTTTTGGCATATACATAAACATCAATAGCAGAAAATACAATGAACTATTTCTTTTTTATTCTTTTATTTAAATGAAAATAATAAATAATCAAAATTTTTTTTTAACTAATATTTCGTTCAGCATCAGAGCAGTTATTTTCAAAAGAACCAATAATATTCAATTTGAAATTATCTGCACGATATGCATAACCATCATCATTACCTAGTGCTGTTATGAATAGCATATCATTCATAACTGTCTATATTGAGAATTTTTTCTTTGCTTAAAGTTAATTCATTGAGAAAAATTTTTTTATGACAGCAAACAAATGATGTTTGTACATAACGTAAAATAAAAAGGTTGTCGGTAAATAGATTTGTTTATTTTTCGAATATCTATATGTTATTGAAGAAGGTTAAAAGCAATCAGTTAATAGAACCAAAATTTGATGGTCTTTGCAAATCTCATGATTTTCTAAATGTTTTTTATTTTGATTTATGGTTGATTAGCTCTGCGGAAATATTGAAAATCATTAAGAAATGTTATTCGCCTAAGTAAAATAGAATTTATCCGATCATGCATAAATTTCCTGGATGAGGTCTTGAGATAATTTTGACTTTCTAGTGCTTTAGAGGATTTATCTTTCTATCAAATCATGAATTATAGGGAGTTAGAACTAAAAAAAAAAACATTTAAACTTTGGTACTTTTTCTTTGAATAATTACTCTATACACGAGATAGCGTTTTTCATAAAAATCGTTTTTATCGAATTTTACTATTTTGAATACATTAGATTTTGATTTCAAGGGCTTTCTAATAGTTTGAATCTAGGTAATTTGGATGAAAATATAGAAAGAAACTAAATGAATAGTTTTGTATCGACGACAGTTTTGGTTATCGTCAAAGATTTGATCTTGATAAATAAACTTTAATTGAAGAAAACATTCTGAATATGTCGGTAAACAGAACATAATATTTTGATTCTAGCTGATTACTGTTAATGACTCTTAAATGGGCGAAAATATTCACTAGACATATTTTGCAAATAGTTTTTACACAAAGGTTACGTACATAATTCGAAACAAATACAAAATAATATGACCTTCAATCGTATGAATATATGAATATCAAAGAACTGCACTGATGTTGCCCGTTATGACCGAAACATTAGCTAAACAAAAAATTTTGATTACTTATTATTTACATTGGAATAAAAGAATAAAAATAAAAAAATAGTTCGTCGTATTTGCTCCGATTGATGTTTATATAATCATATAATTAAAATTCATTTTATTCATATTTATTTATAATTATGATGAAATTTCGTCGTTGAAACATTACAGTATAAATATACTGAGTTATTCTTTATTACCTAATGTAATATTTATAAACGGGTGTTGTTATTTTACAAAAATAATAATCTATAATATTCGTCTTAAAATAGACTTTATAAAAATGAGATTTCTTAGATAAAATGTCATTCAACGTACTTTTAAAAAGCTAATAATATTCAATACTAAATAGTTTTCGATCATAAAATTTTAATTAATTATTATATTTTTCTCATCTAGATTTTTTTATGAATATATATTTTCTTAATCTCAAAAAACACTAGTTGTTTCTATATGATGCACCATTGTGACCATAGATACCAATACAATCTCTTTATAACGAAGAAATGAGAATTACTCTTTAAAAATAAGAATTTTTATGACTAAACGAAATAAAACACATATAATTCTGAGTATTTACTCAACATGGGGATGTAGCTCATATGGTAGAGCGCTCGCTTAGCATGCGAGAGGTATTGGGATCGATGCCCAACTTCTCCACTTTTTTTTTAATTTCTTTTTTGTAATTATACAAATAAAAACATTAATAAAAATCTATGAGAAATCTATTGTTCTTCTCATAATAAATTATCAAATAAAAATTTTTGCATTATTATTATTAAAATCAAACATATTCATATTTATCAACAATTCTAACATCACAAATCTAAAAATAAAAATAAACGCTTAATAATTGAAAATAAACATTATCCTTCTACTTTAATATTATGAAATCGAGTTTCAGAAATTAAGTCAACTTCAATTAGAAAAACAAACCTGATTTTCCAAATATTAAAAAATCAAGTGAATCTTCAAAATTTATTTGATCAATAAGAGCTAATGAACAGATAAATGACGTAAGTTAAGTTAGCACCATAGTCGAGCTTTTCTTCTCCAGATTTGTTTCTTGACTTGTATTCACTCTCTACTTAATTATAATAGATGAAGAATTTGATTCTTTACCAAATTGTATTATTTTCAGCAGGGATCATCGAGGACAAAAAAAGGACTTTTGACTCTGAATATTGATCTTTGTATATGGATGTCGGTATGGCATGTGGGTACGATTGTGGGACGAGAGAAGAATCAGACCCACACCCACACCCACGCTCACGCCCTAATTCAGAAAATATTGATACGAAGCATAGCGATCTACGCGATTCTGATTCCATAAGCATAATAAATCATTTTATTAAATCTCATCTCAGCTAGGTTATAATAAAAGGTGACAATAAGAAGTACATATTTACAAGCGTTATTAAACATTACCTATTCACTAAATTGATCTTAATGAAAAGCATCTGATTGCAATAAAAGAAACAAGACAATCAAAATAATCTGAATTTTGTTCTTTACTCCTTGATTAAAATTGATTTGCTTTCCTTTCTTATAGACACTGTACCAACTATGACAATTTCAATGGACAGTATTTCCCTAGCTTGAGACTTTTGATTCATTACACAACGTTTGATATTATAACCATTCGATAATTCTCGACTCACACCCACACCCTTAATTAGTGATACATAGTCGCTGAAGAAGAAAGAAGCAGATAATAGATGACAACAAACTGATAACACATCATGAAAAAATAATTAATTAAACCAAGAAGTGACAAAAACCCGATGACACATAAAAAATAAACAGAAAACATCATATATTGTCGACGAAATGCGTTGGAGCTTCAAGATGAATAGGTGCACTTAGCACGTAGAGCGAAACAATTTGTTCATGTCGAAAGAGAATTCTATCCGAGGCGATTGTATTCTTGTTCTTGAATGCTTGTAGAGCGAATACCAATGGAACAAGTCGAACTGTTTCATTGACTAATGGATATCGACTTGCATCAATAAGGATAAAATCATCTCTGGTCGACATCTGGTCAATTGAGAACCATTTTGGAGTTTTCAAAACATCATCAATGTCCAATTGAATAAGGAGAGATTGGTCGGCATCATTTCGTATTGTATAAGTTACATTGAGACTCTCGTTACTGATTGCAACCAAAGGTTGATTATTGATAGTCATCACGATCCGACTTGTATCGATCAGTACTCGTTCTTCTCGATAAGTAAGAGTTCCATCATGACGCCCGGTACATGTGCGAATGCGAAAGCTTTGTGATGGAATCTCAATCGGTATGACAAAATCCTCTGTCGTCGGATAACTCGTCAAGATTTCACCGTTTGTACCTATCAGTTGAACGGAATTATTGAGTGCTTTGTTTGAGTTATCACAAGTAGTAATCGCAATTACGTCACTTTGATTGACGAGTGGAGGTGTGG